TGAATTGTCGTGCTGGTGGTTATAAGCCATCTTCATCCGATGTCATGGTGGCCGAATTGCTAGGCTCTGGCCTTAGTATCAGACAGTGGTCGGGGATTTAGTCTCTGCGGAAGATGATCTACTTTTCTTGGAAGAACACTTCACAGAGAACAATAAGAACATGTGTGAAAGAACTGTGACCACCCCAAACGACCACAAGCACCCTACCACCCAAATGTGACCTCCTGTGTGCGGCATACTGAGCCACGATGCAGCCATGAAGGCAAACAACATCATAACCACCGCTAGCAACAGTATGCCTCTGGTAAGAACAATTAGTGTCATAAAAGGTTACGACAGCAATGTCGATAATTAAAATGCTAAGTGATAACAATAATGCCAAGTCATTGCTGATTGTAAACACCTTGAAAGCCATGGTTTGTGCCCAAATAGCTGTGCCGGCAGCTTCCCCTTCCCTGTTACCCCCCAGGAGGGCTAAGCCCCATGGTGAAGGTTCCAGTGGCTATCAATGAAGCCACAACTGAAATAGGACCTCTGGAGCTCTTCATTCCTTCAATCCAACTCTCTTTCTCCCTATCGAGATGGTTGTCACTCTTTTGAGTATCTTCTTTCTTTTGGGATCGACTTCGAAGATACTCTAGTAGCTGCATATTTGGTCAAATTAGGCTTGTGAACAGGACAGACCGACCCCGACCTGCCAAGGTCTAGGGTGGACCCAGGCCCGATAGGGTCCAGTTCGATTGAACCCAATCCACTATTTTGGGTTGGGTAGAAATATAAAATAGAGAAAATGACCTCTATCCCCTCCCCGAAATTTCGTTCCCTACTAGCTCTTTGAGTTCACCAAAATCCCTTGAACCTCTCAAGTTTAAAATTTTGGGACGGTTAGTCCCCTAATTATACTTTTATGTATTCTTTTTACAAATTTAATATTTTTATTTTATAAAATGCCAAACCCTTTCATTAGTCAACTTTCTTTCCTTTCTCTTCTGTTGCCAAAAACCAATCTTACCTCCGTAGACCCCACTCTATAATTTAGGCATGAAAAGAAAATGATTTTTTTAAAAATATTATAACCTATTTTACAATTGTATCAATATCTTTCGAACTTGAAAAATGATTAATCAAGATATTTATACAATTGTTAATGGATTATTATTATTTATTTATTTATTTAAGATATTTCTCAAAATACCTGTAAGAGATGAATTATTTAACAATTAAATATTGTTGTCGTCATTACTGTAATAAATATTAATTATAATTGTTATTATTATTATTATTATTATTATTATTATTATTATTATTATTATTATTATTGTTGTTGTTGTTGTTGTTGTTGTTGTTGCTGTTATTATTATTATTATTATTATCATCATCATCATCTAAAATTTATATATCAAGTCACAAAAAATAATAATTTACGAATGACTAATGTATGGGTTTGGCATTTTGTATTCAAATTTGTAAAAAGAACAAAGAAAAACATAATTAAAGGGCTAATGGTCCCAAAGTTTTAAACTTGAGTGGGTACAAGAGATTTTAGTGATCCCAAGGAGCTAATAGGGATGGAAATTTCGGGGAGGGGGTAGAGGTTATTTTACCTATAAAATAAACATGTTATATTTATAATGTTTTTGTGTGTGTATGGGAGCGGGTGCACATGAAAAAACATATTCATCATCATGGCCATTAGTGAAAAATTATGTGCTCTAACAATGTTTTGGAAGATAGTATCTTATAAGGGCAATTTAAAATGCTCACTTTAAATTTAGAAAATTTGGAAAAATTAGAAACAGGGAAATTTAAAAAAAAAAAAACAAAAATATTCAAACAAACCTTAAAGAAATATGTTGATATATCTCAGGAAAATATATTGAAAAGTTCACATAGGTGTGTGTCTCTACATTTTGAATACTTGGAAAGTTTATGAAGATGCTAGTGTATTAATTTAAGAAATTTTCAAAAACTTTGAAATAATTGCTCCTTATACCAACTAAAAATCCTATGCAATAACAAGCGAAATATCATTAAAAGAGCCAAACCACCTGGTAAAATCAACGTGGTTAAATTCACATTTTCCCAACAATGTGGTTACTTTTTAAAAAATCTCTCACACAAGGATGTTCTTATTTTGGAACCCTGAACGAGCAAATGCATTTGGTAATTTGACCTACTTAAATCATTTAAGCCAACATACTTAAATACCTTTATGTGTCCCGGCTCCAAATCGAGAATATGTATTTTTCATTAAAAAATCTTGTTTCAAATTTGGAACCCGAAACAAGTAGATGGAAATTGGTAATGTGGCCCCACTTAACCCACCCAACAAAATAGTGCGTCTACTTGCTTTGCATTCCAAATCTGAAACAAGATTTTTCAACTAAAAACATGTTTTATGTCTAGAACCTAGAACATGTAAGGGTATTTAGCTCATTAGGCGCAAATAACTTAAAGCGGCCAAAATCACCAAATGCCCTCACTTGATTGGGGTTCCAAGCCCTTAAAACGGCAATTTAGGCATTATGTAACAAAATTATTAAGGCAACACCAAGTGAAAATATTTTAAAAAAAAACAAATTTGTTGGTTAATCAGTTCATTAATATCCCCTTTATTGGTGTTTTTTTAAACAACAATAAAAGGAAATAGACCACACACCTCATATTGTCTAGCAACTCTAGTCAGATGCACAAGGGTGTTGCCATTATTATCAGGCAACTCAATCAAATCACTTTCAACATTGAAGCTTTGGATTAACCTCTCCAAAATCTTTGAGTGATTTATATGGGACACAGATGCAAAATTGTCTCCCCCCCTATCTGTCAAACAAACATGTTTCAGCCATTGGACAGGACCACATGATCATCTCCAAAACACTGGAGCTCCCTTTCATGGCTGCATAGTGCACAGGGTTCTCCCCTCTCTATCTCTTAAAAAGCAAAGACGATTGGGCTCAACACCAAGGAGCATAGCTACAACTTCTTCATGGCCATCAATTGAAGCTGGGTGAATGGGAAAGAGTTCTTGTTGGTTTGTTGCATCAATCAAGTCGGGTACATGGTGCATTAGGGTCGCTTGTGCTAAGTCTTTTACAATTAGAAAGCTTGGTGAATCTGGTATGAGATGTAGATTTTTAGATCATTAGGGTGAATTGACTTGGGGTATAGTTTACCTGAGGTTGAGTTTTCTTGGTTTTCCAGTTATTTGGAGTTTAGGGCAATTTGATAGGCTTGTAAGTATAGTCCAGTGGCTCTATATATGGATTGCAATAGGAAATGGTGATCAATATTGGTCACCAATTAAACTTCTGAGTGTCTATAATTGCATATCTTTATGCAGAAGAATATGTAATATGGATGCAATATACAAAAAATAACTTGAAAATAAATGTTTTCAGCTTCAATTGTCAGATCTTGATAAGAGAGTTGAACGTGCATCTTACTATTTGAATTTTATTTTTTTATTTTTATAATCAAATTAAGCAGAAACTTTAATGTTGTGTCTGACTTGTTTGTGCTCACCAAAAAAAGACATAAAACAAAAATTTCTAAAAAATTAAAATGAGCAAATACCCTTCAAATATTTCAGAGGTACTTTGGTTAAAAATATTTGTTTCATATTTGTTTTTAGTGTGTAATGGTGTCAGGTATACATGTCCAACAATGAACTTAATCCAATTTGTAAAAATTAAAAAAAATAAAAATTCAATCAGCAACTATACTCTCAAGTCTCAACCATCCGATGGCTAAGACAAATATATGAAATTATTACTCATTTTAACAACAAACTCTCGGTGCTTTTTTCCTATAATGTGTGTGTATTAGTGGTGTGTTAGTGGTATATTGTATTAACATAACACAATTATTATATTATTATTTTACTCACTATAACTGGGTCGGATATGGTTCCTCTAACCCTTGCTCCGGGTCAAAACTAGGTTCTCGATCCCCCATATATTTGGGTTGGATCATAGTTAGCAAGTCGGAGACTATCAATAAATTGGCTCATCAAAAAATCGGAAACAAATTGTTTTTATTTTAAAAAGTCGGATGAAAAAATCTTGTAAAAAATACGGATCGGCAAAAATACTTCATATAAGGATATCTCTAATATATCGGATTAGGCTAAAAAATCAGAGTAAAAAAATTGGATAAATTTATAATATTAGAAATTTTGAAATTCTAAAAAATAAAAGTTAATGTCAAAGCCATCAATAACTATTTCATCCATAAAAACTTTATTAGACTAATATAATTAAGTCAATTAATTTAGATACCTCGTGACTCTCATCTAATCATCCAATACATAATTAATTAGTACATACAGAAAAAACTAAAAAAGTACCCTATAAATCTACCGATTAAATACTACAAGAAACATCACACCTATTTATTACATACCAAAAACAAATATACCATATAAATTTATTCATTAAATATTTTAACTATGGCATGGTGACAAATATACTACATAAATTTATTCATTAAATAATTAAAGGGTGCGGTTTCTATAAGGTTGCAACCTTAAACAATCCAATTAAGGCACACCTCCATATTTTATTATAACAATTAATTTTGGTGTAAGCATTATTAGGATTATCTGAAAAACTATTTTCATATTTAATTATAAAATTTAAAAATCCAAAAATAGTTAAAATCAACTAGAAATATAGACATATGAAAAATCTTGAAAATAGACGGTCTAGATAATATGTTGCAAGATGCACTACTATTTTTGGGACCCGAAATCTTTTTTTTTTCATATTCATACATCTCGGTGTCAAAATGATCAATCAAAAGGTTTTTCAACATTAAAACAATATTATCGGATGAATTTTTGAGATACATTTGTAATTCTATATTTTAAGGTTGCGACCTTATATAAATTTTTTGAGATTTAAATATTTAGCAGGTGCCCAAAAAAAATACACGATTTTTATTTTCTCATTGGAATGATTTAACTATGGTAAGTTTTATAAATTTCTTTAATCCAAAAGAGCCGCGTTGAAATTTGGGTTTCACATCTCTGTTTTTACGGTTTAGAGGGTGAAGAAGGAAGAAAATAGGACTGGGTTCATAGCCACTAGGGCGGGTTTAGCACTTCTGTGTTTACGGTTTCGAGAGAGAAGCAGGAAGAGACGAAAATAGGGTTGGGCTCATAGCCATTAGGGTTTATAGAGGGTTTACAGAGAGAAGAAGAAATGAGGAAGAGGTCATCGGCTTCACAAACCCTAATGGAAGAGGCACTCACTGTTTTTTGGAGAGAGAAAAGGAAGATGGGATGCTGATTAGGGATTGTTGAAGAACCCTAATGGAAGAGGCACTCACTGTTTTTTAGAGAGAGAAAAGGAAGATGAGATGCTGATTTGGGATAGTTTGAAGAGGTTTTTCTCTCTGATTTGGATGTTGTTTGAGAGAAAGCCCTAACTATACTGATTTGTGAAGAGGACGAGAAAAGGAAGAGGCCTTTTCATTTTCTTGGGGAAACAGCAAGCAGAGCTGAGGGATTTGGTTTGGGGAACTAATCGTATATGTACAATTGCTTGCTTCTGTAAGTTTACAGTTTACACTATATTGTTTATCTTTGTTCTCACATAATCAAAAACAAAATATTGATTAGTTGGTCCTGTAGTCACACTCTGTGCTTCTCATTCATACTATGTTTTTAGCTCTAATTTGTGCCATAAACAGTATTTTCATAAAAACAATTATCACAAATAATCACAGAAATCTGAATGTATATGATTTTGTTTACACAATGATTTACTTTGCAAAATGATTTGCTATAAACAGTATTTCATTTACACAATAATTTTCCATAATAACAACTGAAATCTGCATCTATTTGTTTAAGTTAAAATAAAAAGGGAAAACCACTTCAATCTGCAACTGTGGCTTTGAAGAACAATGGGGCTAAAAATTTATATTTTAGATTTTTTTTTTGAAATAAATTCTTTTTCAAATGCATGAAAGTAGCAATGGCTGGAACACACAAAATAGGAAAAAAAAATATCTTTCAAAAAAAAAATTATATTTAACAAAAGATACGATTTTTTTGCCTGATTTAAATCGTATTATGAAAAAGCATGTTTTAAACGTTTTTATGAACACTATCGGTTGGATATGGGTCCACACATTTATACTGTCTATAGACTAGTGTTAGGAAGACCGACTCAGGTCGATTACTCAGTCCGATTTGGTTGAGTTCTGGCCAAGTAAAAAAGTGTTAAGAAAATAAAAAAAATCCAAAAATAGAAAAAGTATGTTTTTTTTTTTTTTATAATGTTAACATTGTATTACTTGAAAAGAAGAGGGAATACAATAGATTGAGGGAGGAGAGAACCGAGAATACCCACGAGACAGGTATCTCAGTCAAAAAATTGGTTCACTGACCCTATACAGAATATTTCCTTTTGAGGTGGCTGTATACAAAAGATTGAGGTTTCAAAAAATGGGCTTATAAGCACGCCCTATTACAAGAAGCAGCAAAAAATATCTAGTGTCCTAGAAAACCTCTCTGGTCCGTCCAGAGCCAAAAAGGAGATGGACCAATCATTATCTTCCAAGTGTGGTCGTCGCCGTGCTCCGTCTTTAGTCAGAAGGTTGGCGAACTCGTTCGACGTCTGCCATATATGCCTGCAACAGACGTTGGTATCTTTGCATAAGTGGTAAATTTCGTCAAATATCCTAGATAGGTACCAAGGGGGGGGGGAGGGGGTAGTGCCTGCTGCCCATGATAAAATGTTTTGAGCATCTCCTTCCACCACCAAGGATTGGCCCCAAGATGGATTCAAGAATTTTAGGCCCATTAGGAGTGCCACGGCTTCAGCAAACTGTGAGTCTCCATGTCCGACATATTCTGAGTATGTCATGAGAACTTTGCGATTGTGATCACGGAAAACCCCCCCTACTCCTGGAGGACCCAGGTTTCCCAAAGAACAGCCATTGAAGTTAAGCTTTATGGCATTTCTGGGGGAGGTAACCAGTTGTGAGGTCTTTGTACTTTGAAGGGCTGGAAATGGATAATGTTCTCCCATTGCCTGAGGAAAGAACTCATAGGAATCCCACCGAAGATGCTGTGGGTGGAAGCCCAAAAAGTTACAAGGGATGTAACCTTATGAAATAGCGCTGAAACATCATTTTTGTGTCCTTGAAAGACCCTCTCATTTCTTTTTAGCCATAAAACCCATATGGTAGCAGCGATCGCTGCCCTCCACAAGGTTCTACCTGCTTTGGGCCAATGACCACCTAAGTAATAAGCGAATAAATCTTTAACCGAAGGTGGGAGGACCCAATGGAGACTAAACAATTAGAGAATAAGTGTCCAAAGATCAAAGGCCACACTGCAATGTAGAGAGAGGTGGGGATTTGACTCCTCCTCTATCAAGCACATTACAAATCTGTTTGGGAGCGGCAGACCTCTTTTTTAAAGCTGATCGAGTGTGAGAACCCGTTGACAGCTTGCTATCCAATTGCAGGTCTGGACTTTTGGAGGAGCTATTGTGTTCCAAACTTTGGAAAGAGGAGAGGTGGGATTTAACAGAAATGTACGAGGTTGGATAAGTTTCTTATAAAAAGAGGCTACTGAAAACTTACCAGATGGGGATAAAGTCCATACCAAAGAATCATTCCCAGATGAAGGTAAGAACACTGGGTAAAGAGCAGCCGAAAGGTTGGTGAAAGCTAAAGTTTCCTCCTCGGAGAGATTCCTTCTAAAAGAGGGAGTTCAAGTTCTACGCCCCCCCTGGCAAGACCATTTCATCTGCTATAGTGGACTCTTTATTGGAGGAGAGTTAAAAAAGGGTGGGAAAAGGTCCTTAAGGGGAGCATGTCCAATCCAAAGATCAGACCAGAAGCGCACTCTACTGCCTTGTTTTGAATGGAAGCGGAGTGCTTGTTTGAACTGAGCTAGAGAGGAGGCGAAGGATTTCCAAGCTCCTGAAGCCCTACTGCGGGAGACCCTTTCAGGCACCCATTTGTGATCCGAAATGTTGTACTTATTCCGAATAATCTGTGCCCAGGAAGAGTTTGGTTGGGTGGCCAATCTCCACCACCACTTCCCCGACAGAGCCAGGGTATGTTTTCTTAGATCTCTGATTCCTAAACCACCTTGGGATTTGGGTAGTCGGACTCTATCCCAAGAGATAAGGTGATGTCTCATTTTTTCTGATTGGCCGGACCACAGAAAGTTCCTCATAAGTTGGTCCAGCCTGTTAGCCATCGATGCTGGCATATGGAAGATGGACATTAAGTAGATAGGGGAATTGGCCAATGTAACTTTAACCAAAGTAGAATGACCAGCCAGGGAAAGGAACCTTCCTTTCCATCCAGCTAAACGCCTATTAGCTCTGTCAATCACTTGGGCCCAAAGTCTCTTTTTGGGTTTCCCTAAGCCTAAAGGTATCCCTAAATAAATGGTAGGTAGGTCCTCAACTATACAATCCCAGAACGGAATCAAGGATCTGATTTCTTGAATTGTGAGACCCACTCCCATCATCTTTGATTTTTCCATATTAACTTTGAAGCATGTGGCATTCTCAAAGCATTTGAGGAAGAGTCTGAGGTTCTCGATTTGCTGAGGATCAGCATCTAGGAAGACTAGGGTATCATCTGTGTATTGCAGGTGTGATACCGAGGGACCTTGTGAGGTGCAAAGGAATGTCGAAAGTAAACCTTCCTGGTAGAGGCGAGAAATAGACCTGCTGAAAACCTCAGCAGCTATTGTAAAGAGAAAGGGAGATAACGGGTCCTCTTGGCGGAGCCCCCTCGAGGCAGCAAAAAATCCTTTAGGGCTTCCATTTATGAGGACCGAAAATTGAGGGTTGGATATACATCATTTTATCCATTTTCTTCATCGAAGTCCAAAGTTCATTCTGGTCATCGTCTCATCCCGTAATGACCAGTCCACGTGGTCACGTGGTCATATGCTTTTTTCCAATCGATTTTGAAAATTAAGCCTGGCTTCTTGGATAGGTGCCTGGAGTGAATACACTCATGGGCGATCAGCGCACCATCCAAGATCAGCCTCTCTTGAATGAAAGCAGATTGGGACTACGAGATGATCAAAGGAAGAACCTGCTTGACTCTTGAAGCCAGTACCTTGGCCAGAATTTTGTAAGTGGAGTTAAGCAAGCTAACAGGACGAAAGTCCTTTAGCTCTTCAGCCCCCTCTTTCTTTGGGACATGGGCTATAAAAGTGGCATTGATAGGTTTGTTAAGGATCCCCCTATGTTAAATTCTTCAAAGAAACTTTTGAGATCAGGTAGGAAAGTATGCTGAAACGATTTAAAGGGGGCCATGGGAAAACCATCCGGCCCCGAAGCTTTGCCTTTGGCTAATTGGTCATTGGCGCTGGAAATTTCCTCGATTGTAAAAGGTTTTCCAACTCACTTGACCAATGATCAAGAACAATTAGGAAGTCCAAAGTGGTCATCCTAGGCCTAAGTCCCACAGGGGCAGTGTAGAGAGACCTGAAGTAATGTAAGATTGCAACATCAATTTCATCTGGCTGGGTAAGAAAACTGTTATTCACCTTTATTATGAATATCAGATTCTCTCTTCTCCTATAGTTGGCTATTCGATGAAAGAAAGCAGTGTTCTAGTTCCCTGTTTTTAACCATCTGACCCGGGATCTCTGGTTCCAATAAAGTTCTTCTTTCTTGAGTGTAGCAAGGTATTCTAGTTTGGATTGGATTCGATGAAGTACTTCTGATTTTGAAAGGGGTCTAGCTTCTTCTAGTTTGTCAAGGTCTTGAATGGAACTGAGCAGGGAGCTTTTTAACTGAGAATAATTCCCTAGCCGAGATTGACTCCAAGTTTTCAAGGACTTTTTGAGAAGCTGGATTTTGGTTTGTAACTTGAACCCCGCTCTACTCGAGACTTGAGAAGAGAAGTAATTCCACCAACTGGGGATGAGACTCAGAAGGGAATGCTCTTCTAACCAAGCCAGTTCAAAGCGAAAAGGTTTTGGCCCCCTATAAATCGCCTGTGTATCATGGAGAATGGGACAGTGATCCGAGGTGGGTTTAGGTAGAGTGAGAGCGTGTGAATCAAGAAAAGCAACTTCCCAATCCAGGGAAAGAAGGAAGCGATCCAGTTTAACCAGGGAAGGCTGAGCAGAGTGGTTGGACCAGGTAAAGGCTTGCCCTTGAATAGGAATGTCTAAAAGTTCTTGTCTAGAAATGAAAGCAGAGAAATCCAACTTGCCCTGGGAAACATTGGTGTTGAGGTTACTCTCATGGGACCATCGGGTGATGTTGAAATCACCGCCCAGGCACCACACAAGGTGTGGTAAGGCTGCTACGACGTCTAATTCAGTCAGAGAATTTAAGCAGCGAACCATCTGTTGCCCTGGAAAGAAGGACAGTAACCAAAAAATCTCCTATGTGGGACAAGAGGAGATTAAACTCAGTTGGGTTCCAAACTACCCAAATACCGCCAGAAGCCCCCGTCATCGGTAGTGATTCCCATTGACGCGGCCTTCTGCCCCACACGCTGCGAATGGATTGCAGGGTAGGCTTCGGCTATTTCGTCTCTGTCAGGGCAAGGATCGATGGGGAGAATTTTACTAAAAAGTCTCTCACCGAGTTCCTTTTGGACTTCAGTCCTAACCCTCTAGTGTTCCAAGAGGGTATCTTCATAGGTTAAGGGGAGGAGCAGGGCTGGAGGCAGTCTTGGGCAAAAATTAAACAAAACACATTGAAATGAGGTTAAAAAAGTAGTAAAAAAATCAATTTTGAAAAAATCAATTTGCGATGAGGTATTTTAGAAATAACCCAAAAAGAAGCAAAAATACAAAATTAATTATTCATGAGCAGGACACTTTTTAATCTTTTCCCAAATGAGAGAAAAACATAAAAAAATACAAAAAAAATTCATATTTTTGTATGTTCTATAAATTTTTAAAATTTATTTTAAGATCCTTGAGTGAGACCACCCAGCTCAAGAATACTCAAGCTCGTGCCAAGGTCGGCTTTGCGAGCCCGAGTTACTCGGGCGAGTGTGAGTGTGAGTCAACTAACCAGAGTAATCGAACATTGCAATAGATATGGTTTGCTCAGGGGGAATTTTTTTCCCTTTATTGTTTTTGTTGTCTTCAATCAAACTACTACTAGTAGTTTGAGTGTCCAATAAAAGCATAACATGATCCATGTGATCCCAGTCAATCTATGGTCAATGTGTTATCAATGTCCAGTCAGCTAATGGACGGTAATGGAAACAGAGTGTGTATTCTCAAGGTCAAGACATAACGTTGTGTTTTGCCATCAGCTTGGATCCATTGAGTAGACGGTGATAATAACATACGACTCTGTGATCATGTCGATCATAGGATACTTTCGCTTTACTAAACTACCCCCCACTGGTGCGCTTCCCTCTCTTTCATACTCCGTTTAACGCAGCTTCTCCTGCCACAAATTCTTTCTCTTAAAACCCTAGTTTCTCTCTCTTAAACCCTACTAAACCTAGTCTCTCTCTCTCTCTTTGATATCGTCTCTGGCACATCTTGGTGCGTTTACATTTCGATCATGATCTAAGTCCAATTAAATTCTTGTCAATATCCAATTTTTTCCATCAGTTTATGATTACCTCCATTGCCTAAATAGATGTCCAGTTCATGTAATTACCAATTAAAATTGAGCGTTCAACCTCTGAACCCATTGATTTTTTGGTGAATTTCACCTTAATTTTGTGTCTTTTGAATAACATTTCTGCCTCAATAAAAAGAGGGAAAATAAGCTTCAATGTCAAGCTTGTGCATGTGATAATTTTAGTCCTTTGAATGGTGAAAACAGTATGATCAAGAAGCTTCAATACGGAATAATGGCGCTTTCTTCTCTCCAGAAATGGTTTTTTAGGGGCATCTGCAGTGCCTCATCTAAACCCTTGCATGTATGCGTTGTAGGTGGTGGGCCTGCTGGTTTTTACACTGCTGAAAAGGTTAGAAATTTCACTTTTCTTCATTCTTTCATATTCAAATTGCATCTGAGGGGTTTCTCTCCCTTCTCCGAACTGTCTTTGAGGTCTCTCTCTCTCTCTCTCAGATGCTTTTGGTGAGTTTCTATGTGTTCTCTTGATTTTATTGGTGGGTTTTCTTCTTTTCTCTTTCCAAGTTCAATTGTGGGTTTTTCTCTCTCATTGCTGAAAAATTTCTGGGTGATTTTCTGTTTTTCTTCCGCAAGATGTTAAAGGCTCATAAAGAAGTACAGCTAGACATCATTGATAGGCTTCCCACTCCCTTTGGCCTTGTTCGTTCCGGGGTGGCACCTGATCATCCTGAAACAAAGGTACTGATCTTTGAAAACCATAATATTAGTGAATTCTTGTATATTATGTTATTTGAAGCGGGCATAGTCTTTGGGTGTTAGTCAGTGATGGAAAATTCTATCGAATCTGTCCTGCACTGGAAACTGCGAATAAGTGAATAAGTAATGAGATCCGAGAAGCTAGAGTTAGGAGCTAGAAATGATACTGCAGTAATTTTTTATTTGAGCGACAAAAATTTCCAACTTGAAATGAGAAAGCAATATCTTGAATATAAGTAATGGGTTAATGGGTTTTTGTTGTAATTCCTTGAATTTTAGTTCAATAATGGAAAAGTTCAGAAAATGCACCTCACGTGGTAGGGAAATGTAAATATAGCTTGCCATCTTCCATAAAGACTATGAGACCCATTAGCCCAATTATTGTTTGTCTGATCAGGGAACATTAAGTAGATCCTTGTTGAGTATCAATTTTTTCATGGAAATAAATTGAGAAAATATGATTTGGAACAGTTTAAAGACAGAGAATTTAGTTTTAGTAATGGCCTAGACTTGCAACTGGAGTCCTTCAAGTTAGGAGTTTGATTGTAGATCACTTGAGGTTTTTTATTGCACTATTTGAATTGTAATTAAAAATTTTGAGAAAATATAGTTGATATGGTTGGATATATTATAAATTTAAAGGTTTTCAAAATCAAGGCAATGATACCCCAAAAATCTAAATTTAGGAGTTTAGTCATGCCTACTTTAATGTGTTCCTAATCTAACAGTTGTAATGCCCTTTGTTTTTAAGTTACAATGGTCATCTCTTTTCCAGTCTACTGGATGCATCCAATGGGGTATGCTAGCTATGTCTTATGCACTCCTTCTAGAATGTGAGGAGACAAGTCCATACACATATGACTTTCAGAAGAATCATAATAGACCAGAGATATTGCAGCTATTTAGCAGTTTCGAAAGAAAAAAGGGTATTGCAGCTGTTTAAGAAACATCGGTAATTTGGTTTTCTACCTACTCTGGTGTTTCGTCATAGTTACTGGGATCACCCAAGAAGGTGATTGCTCCAGCTCAGGATGCTCGATCTTGTGCTCCAGTTCAAGGGATCTCAATTCCAGATGTTTTTTTAGGGATAGTAATCCGTGAAAAAGTAAATCTTCTTTGCCTTTAGTAGCTTCGCTTTTGCCTCCTTAACTTATGGTCCTCTGCTCCTCTCCTCTTCCTCTATTCATCCTTCTTTCATAGCCTCCTTGCCCTCAGATCTCTTTCCTCAGCCAACTCTCAGCACCCCATCTTATCCCCTCCTTCTCTCTTCCGGGATATTTCTTACATCTCCATTTATCTCTACTCTTTCTTCACCCATAGTTACCACTTAGGCTCTATGGACAATTCTCTCAGATACCATCATTTATGTTTACAAGACCTTTGGCCTACTTCACCACCGAAGTCAGAAGATTGCTGGCAAGCAAGGACTTATAAACTTAATCTCTCAGGCTACTGAAATCAAGGAACTGCAGCCCTCCCCACAAGCATCTCGCCCATCGTTGCTGCGGCTCAGCAACTAAAACTCATACCCGACAGCAAACTCCACCAGATCTTCTCAAGGACTTCCTCAGCAGCATTTTTTTTTGCTTTTTGCTTCTCTGTCCCACATGCAATGAACTCTTTTTCGTATGTCTTTTACCTTGAATGCTTAGCACTTTTTCCTTTTTTGGAATTACTCTCTCTTCCCCTGAGCAATTATGTTCCTTCTGTTCCTTTCATTGTATTTTGAGCACCCCATATGTGGGATGCCGTGGATAGCTTTCTCTTCATGTAAGTTCCTTTTGTAGTAATACAAAGTTGACATTATAAAAAAAAAATTGGGGATCTAGATCCCTGGTTAATGAGATCTGGATCCCTCTCGCCCAAATTTCGGATCCATGAGTAATGGAATCGAGCCTCCAATAGTGTGGAAACGAGTTTTATTTATATTTGTACTGAAGATCACCAGCATATTTCAAGTCTCATGCACTAACCGACCCCTTTCCCCCACCCATTATCTCTCCAATGCCCTAGACCATAATCTCTCTCTCTCTCTCTCTCTCTCTCTCTCTCACATTCGGAAATCTGAATTGGGTTTCAATACAGAGATCAACCTGTTGAGATATGGTCCCAATAATCAACCAGTTCAGAAGCAGTTCCAATACCCACATCAGCGAACAAGTTTTGAAGCTTGAAATTTGAAGTTGTAAATCGTGAAAGTAAACACCATGCCATACAAGCTGCTGCTAAATCCTTTTCATTTCACTTCTTGGAAGCACTGTAAGCGATTGATCTTTATCTCTAATACCCTCTTGTTGACCACATCCACCATTGTAGGGACCTTTGCACGTAGACCCTTTTTTTTTGCCTCTCGACCCTTATTTCCCTCTGAATCTAAGAGAGTATTTAACCAATAGCATGCTCAATCGCATGTAAGTGAAAGGACCCAAATGAGGAAATCAAGGACACCACAGTTTCATCAAATACTAGAGCTTCTTTCATGCCAGAGGACTAAAATTGAATCCTCGTTTTGAGTTTTCAAGTTCACTTCTCACTCATGATACACACTCAATTGATAACAACAAATTAAAAATATTTTCAAAACGGGATTTTTGTATTTAATGAGAATTTGGTTTTTGAATTAAGAAAAAACATTAATCATATCATCGAATAGACTTCGTTCCTGAGCTAGAGTACTTAAGTTCTCTTGCAGAGCCTCAATTCTAAGCTGGACAGACCTCAATCCCATATACTTTATTATTCAATCCTAGTCAAATTTGGATGATGCTTCCTTCATATTGGGAGCACGATCCCTTTGACTCACAGTGTACAGATCCAATTCCTATTCCATGGATATTTGTGCATCTCTTGATCCCGTGATCCAATCTTGATCCATGATCTGACCTCTCTGCTATCCCAGTAACTATGGTTTTTGTCAATATGAAAAGTAGAATTAGATATGTGGCAGACATATTGTTAAGCCTCAAACTGTACTATGTCATTTACAAATTATGAGGCAATTCTAGACAAAATGATTACAAGGAGTTTCTATGGCATTGTTGGGTCTTTGATTTTCATGGAGCTACATTTTTTTAAATTTGCATTGATGTGAGCAAATTCATATTTGTGTATTCAGTTGTTTTGAATAATATCTATGAATTCATAGAATTTTTTGGTTTGGAGTCTTTATATTATTTTCTGGGCTGATTGCATGAGCTGTCTATGTTATGTATGAAGGGTGATTTGGTGCTCATGTTGGTGAAGAAGCTGGGTATTGTTACATGTTTCCAGTGATTTCTTATTTGACCTTAGTGATATCAGGAACTTGTCACAGATTGTGGTCAACCAGTTTTCACGGCTTGCTGAGAATGAGAGGTTTTCTTTCTTTGGCAATGTATCATTAGGAACCAGTGTTTCTCTCTCTGAACTATGTGATATCTATCATGTGGTAAGTTGTTCCCTGCACCCAGTCATTTAACAGTAAAACTTTAGTATGCTACATTGTGTTGGGTTTCCGTGAGTAGTTTTTGAAAGGAAGACGATACTATAATTAAATGGGCTATGGAAAACTGTGGTCAGTTGGGTCGTCACATAGATTATGGTAAGACAGTAAGACCCACCAGAATGGTTCATGACACCACTGTCTAATGATTTAAATGGATATTGATGACCCAATGAATCATGATTTTTCTGTGGACCCCTGGAATTTAGTTTTTTGTAAATATTTCGTCTTCGACTTAATCTGACATTTAGCTCTGAGCAGGTGGTGCTTGCTTATGGGGCTGAAAGTGACAGAATTTTGGGCATTCCTGGAGAAGTATGTTTTCTTCGTGCACTTTTATATTCTTTTGGAAGTTTGTGGATCTATAAACAAAACTTAGTATTCAGAAAGTATGCCTGATAGACCTTTCCACATGGCTTGTTCTGCATTCTGTTATTTTAGGTCTTTGTGATATTTTTGTTTTAGGATTTGAATGGGATACATTCAGCTAGAGAGTTTGTTTGGTGGTATAATGGGCACCCTGACTGCAAATGCGTGGCTCCTGAATTGAAGACCACTGATACAGCTGTAGTTCTTGGCCAGGTACCTTGTAAAATTTCTGAATAATGTTCTTGTGTAGAATTTACTGTAACAACAATGCCTTATTTCAAAGGACACCATATTATTTATGTTGGTTTGAGTTTTCAGCATTCAAATAGGTTGACTTGTGTCTTATTTATTTGTGAAATGCTCTCAGTTTTGAACTTTTGACCAGTGTCACAGTTAACAGCATCAAAAAAAAAAGAAAAACTTTTGACTAGTGTGATTTTCTTTTGACATCTTATAGTTTTAGACTGAAGTACTTACTATAGTAATATGAAAACTTGATTCAATTCATAAGCTGAGCAAGAAAGCACTTTTTATACAAAATCAGCATAGGAGAACACTAAAGAATGTTGAAAATGGAATAAATATTATTCAAGGTACTGTACGATGGCTTCCCTTCAACAATTATTGTTCAGTCTTGGGTTAGCTAACTGAGCGTAATGTATGTATGAGGGTCGTTATCTTTTATTCTTTCGGATGCCACGAGGATGGTAGTACTTTAGTGGTAGAAACTCAAGTGACAAGTTGCTAATTCAGTGATAAATATTACCCTGTGATTATGGATCATGTGATCAAGCAGTCTGTTTTCTGGTTAAACGGAAGGTAAGGTTGCTGAATTATTCCTGGAACAAGTGCATCATGAGAATAATATTACCCTTGAATGCGTACATATATGTTTTGAGAACATGGAGAAATAAAATTCCTTGGAGGGTCAACTTGGAGAATATGGGTCTAGTAGAGGAGGATCGTTGTTAAGAGGGTGGTCGGTTGTTGTGGTATTCTTGAGTGCCCAAATGCTAACCAAGATGACGCTTGTGCTTTTCTTTATAGTTCAGCGACATATGCTTAGCTGAAGGACATTTGTACCTTTGGGGTGTAGGATCGCTTTGGGGTTGACATGGTTAAGCCAATCGGCTGTACTCAAGGTTTTAAATGCGGCAGCAAGGGGGCGCTGGTTGCCTAGATTCAATGCAGCCACTGAGGTGGGTGCCTCCATCTTTAGGTGCCCTAGACTCTCATATTGATGTGGTTTATCTAAGGCCTAGGCCTTTTGGAACAAAAAGTAAAGCCGCACCACAAAAGCATGCCTGGAAATGCAGTTCTAGCGTTAGAAACCAACCAATTAAATTTTGAAGCTTCAAAAATGATGCAGATATGTCGGATTTGTAAACACTTGAAAATAGACAACCCAGATAATGTGTTGCAAGATAAATTGTTTTTAGGCTTGAATATTTCTTTTCTTTTCTTTTTCTAGATCAATAATTATTGAGGTCAAGATGATCAATATGAGGTGTTCTTCAAAGCTGTAATTGCAATTTTTGTGAAATTTGGGGTTCAGAGCTTTTTCTATATTTATATAGGATATGCATACATATCTGTATACTTTACACAATCACATATAGTTTATGTAATAAGCTCATAAATTATATATTTCATATCAGTGTTTCAAAAATCGTTGAGCTAGCTCGGATCGCTCTGAGCCTGCTCGTAACTAGTGAAATACGAGTCCGGATTAAGAAGCCCCGTTTTTGCCCTAATTCCCACCATTTATTATTGGTTTTAATTTTTCTATTTTTTACGCAAAAAAATGCAGAAAACCTGTAAGTTGGCTCAAAGCTGCTGAGTGACTTATTTGACCCACCAGTTCGGTTTCTAAAACTTTTTTTTTTTACAAGGTAGATGTATAAAATTAAAAGAGTGGAATGACGGAACATGATTAGTGTAGCCAACCCCAAATAGTTGGGATAAGGCTCAGATGATTATGATGAAGATTATGATATATAACTAATTGAACATTAAAAATATGAATTCTATGAAAATCAGAAGTGTGATAAGAGTCTAGGTAAATGTTGAATCACATTTCACACATGGAACACAACCACAAAGGATAAAAGATAATAGCATTCTCAATGCCGTAGTTCTGATGGCTCCATGTCCAAGACCATAAATTCAACTTACTCAATTACATAAGTACAAAGTTCCAATTTAGAGAAAAAGAAACGAAAGAAACAATAAACCAAATGACAATGAAATGCATCATGTATAATCTTCAACTTCTCCGTCACCTTCAATCTTAACTCTTCTTTTGAATTGCCAACCATCATCATCAAAGTCGGGAGTAATTGGTGGGGGATACTGCAATATACCTCCAATGTCTTCCCTCGCCACACTTTATCATTATCATTATCGTCATCATTATCGTCATCATCATCATTATCATTATTTCATTTTATTTTTATCTTTTTTGGATTGGGTTTTTGTGTTCTTGTTATCTCTTTTTTTTGGGTTTTGGGGGGTAAGGAGGCTAGACTAAAATGCCCATGGCCCTAGGGCGTTTCCCCCCCCCCACACACCATGGGCAGCCTGAGGCTGGCACCTCAACTGGCGCTATTTACTTGCCTAGGCACCACCTCGAGTGCCTTAGGCACCCACCTATTTCTGCCCGCCTTACCCAAGGTGAGGCACCTGGGCAGTTGCCCTCCTTAAGGTGCTGCCAAGGCATCTAAGGCTGGCACTCTTTAGTACATTGGCTGTACTAGTCAAATTGGTACGTTAACTACTGGTTTTTGTGCCCTAAACAGTTTCCATTAATGCTATGAAATTGAATTTCAGTGGATTTGCCAAAGGAGACCATGGCCAGTGTTTATGGTGAGGGTATGGGTAATGAAAATGTCACGTGTATAGACAACACTTAGGGCTTGTTTGTATGATAGCTAATTTTATCAGGAGGAGACTATCTTATTTAAAATTGATATATTTATATAGTAATGTTTTGTTGGTTATTTGGTACATATCCTGTATTCTGTATAATATCATTTAGTTTTTGTTTGGTTGGAGAAATCTCTTCTTATTTGTTCCCCACGGTAGCACCATACTGAATATAGTTCCACTGGGTAAAGTAAAATCAGCTTTCAAAAGATAAACTTATCTATGGAACTGCCTATAAGTTTATCTGTTTATGTCAGCTAATTTTATGATTGACACTACCAAACAACAGATAACTCTTTGTTATGATTAATTTCATTGAAACAGTGAATTATTTGTAATAACAAGTACATCCAAAGTTCCAAACATGCTTAACATATAGAGCCTCATCTGTCGTTATTGTATTTTATTGAATTATTTTCAACAAGTGCTTCTGATTTTGGTTGGTGGCCTTCAGTTTTCAATTTTGATTATGACCAAAAAAAGAAAATAACCTTTCTTTTCTGACTCGTAGGGAAACAAAACATATTTTTTATTGGTACTTATGCAAGTTCGATTAAGTAGGTTTAATCAGTTGGAATCCTGTTTTAGTTTGAAAGTTGAAAAAAGAAAAGAGGCATTTATGTAATAATAAGTTTGGAAAAAAGAAAAGAAGCATGCTAAAAAAAGTTCAGAGATTATGCACGGAAACCATTGACTATTATATTTGTTTTTAGGGTAATGTGGCACTTGATATAGCGAGAATCCTTTTGCAAGACCCAGCTGAGTTGGAAAGAACTGACATTGCAGAGCATGCCTTAGCTTCGTTGAGGGAGAGTTCCATCAGGTTGGCTTTGGTCAAAACTAATCTGTCGACTTGAATTGAATTTCTTGCTTTCAGTCTCATACATTAATCCCATGTAAACCAATATACAAAAAAATTGTGTATTTCTTGTGGAATGCAGGAAAGTTTATTTAGTTGGAAGACGTGGCCCTGTACAGGCAGCTTGTACAGCAAAAGAGCTTCGAGAAATTCTGTGTCAGTCCACTACTACTCTGTGTGTGTGTGATCTTTTATTACCGGTGTTATTCGTTTAAATTTATATGACTTTCCTGAAGTTTGGAGATGGAACTTGACAAAATTTTCAAGCTCTATTTATTTTCCTATGCCACTAAAAGGAAGTTTGTATCTTCTGATGTAATTACTTTTTGTTATTTTATCTTGGGCATGTACAAACTGCTCTCATAGGAGCACAAAATATCTATCAGGACGATTTTATTTATCAGAAATTTGCAAAACATCTTTGATTCACTAGATGAACGACGTTGGGGAAAAACAAAAACATTGATTTTGAGTTATATAAGACGTAGATCTTTCAGTCTGCTTCCGATGTTGGAGATGAATTTATTTGGACAATTTTTAGGGTTCCAATTGAATTTTATTTAATTAATTTATTTGTTTTGATATTGATTATTGAGATGAGTAAAGAACATCCGCAAGTTCTGGGTCTAACAAATCCTCCTAGGTGGATTTTTTACCCGTGGTAATACGTGTACAAGTAGAATTTGCTTCCATAGGAGCCCTAAATCTTTTTCCTTTTTTATTAATGCAATAGAACTTTAGCTTACAAAAACTCGTGTGAACCTTGATGTTATTTTATGGGTTAGCAGAAGTGAATTCTTTCCCTCCCTTACTCGTGTGAACCTTGACGTTATTTTATGGGTTAGCAGAAGTGAATTCTTTCCCTCCCTTCAACTAAGAGCTCCATGTTTGCTTCCCATCATGCCTCGTCTCCTCAACATATTGGAAAGAAGAAATTGGAAAATATGTGAAAAAAAATAAAACACTGCTTGGACTAGGGTACTAACTGGCCTGACCAGATCAATGTCTGGATCAACATAAACTGGGCTTAACAACTGCTTCGCTATTGTTCTTTCGTAACTTTGCTTCAAAGTAACCTGTAAATGTCTTAGTGCAGCTTTGAAGCATGTCCAAGTTCATATTCAGGAAGCTGATCTCGTGAAGTCTCCTTTGGATGAGGTATTCTTGGCACTTACCACAAATATGAGCATTCTGGCTATTATTGTTTTCTTCAGAAGACCAATTGGTCCTTAGTTTTTCTGTGTACTCCATGACAAGGTGTCTTTTTTACTAAGAAAAACTGAACATGCAGCAGCCATGGTCCCCCACCCTGTACCGCTCCCTTTTATAGAATTATCTGATTGGGTGGCAGGCATCTTTGTTTGTAGGAAGAACTGAAGAGGAGCAGAATCCAAAGACGAGTCTACGACTTGTTGTCTAAAATAGCCAGTTCTCAACCATCAGATCATGTTAGTTGTGAACGAGATCTCCACTTTGTTTTCTTTAGAAGACCAGCCTCCTTCTTACCATGCAATGATGCAAATAAAGTTTGCAGGGTGCGCTTAGAGAAAACCTTTTTGAAAGGTGGGCCACCTAGAATCAATTTAGCCTCTTGCAATGGATTTATGAACACTACTTTCTGTGGATTTAAAACAAATACTACTTTATGTATTCTTTATCATGATAGACATCATCTATTTACTTGCAGAGAATGGTGCAACTGGTCGACAGTCTGCAGTGGGTTCTGGGGAGTTTGAAGAACTTGAATGCGGGTAACCACTGTTATTAGTAGATACAGACTCCAAAATTCATCCTCCAAAATTTGTTCTGTTTCTTTCATTATTTATTTGGTTATGGTTTATATAAGGCACACACCCTAAATAATCACAGTAAGATGTCCAAACCTTGCCGGAACATACATTTTTGGTGCCAAAAACTCTTAAGATGTCCTCAAAATTTGTTTCTGCCTCCAATTATGAAATTTAAAGCTTAAAAAATGGTGCAAATCGAATAGATTTATAAACAGTTGAAAATCTTGAAAATGAACAGTTTAAATATACAATGCACTATTTTTAAAACCTGAAATCTTTTTTTGGTTAGTTGTATATCTCGAGAAGGTCGATTGAAGAGTCTTTCAGCATCAAAACAACTATTTTCCAATAGATTTTTGAAGTACACTGTACTTTTGTAATATAAGATTGACTCCTTAAACGTTTTCCTATTTATTTTTATATGGCATCTCTTGTTATTTCCTTTATTGGATTGTTGATTAAAATGTAAAAATTCTTACTAATTTGTGTTCCATGTGCAGGCTAGTTTTCAAAAGCATTGGTTACAAGTCTCTGCCAGTTGATGGATTGCCCTTCAATGATCAGAAGGGTAAGACTATTTTCACCATCCAAAGCAAAATGTCCTTGTTCCCCTAAGTAGAACTTATTTATTTCCATTTTCATCAAAAGACATAAAGCAAAGCAATCACAAAAGTAGAGAGCTGAGCAGCCCCATTCCATGTCAGTTTTCCCATAGACGATAACTACAAACCAGGACCCAGATACATGGTTAGTTAACAACCATCATGTTTGTTGAGCATCTCAAAACGGAATAGCAAAATGTGAATGTGTAGAGAGAGAGAGAGAGAGAGATATAGAGAAAGATCTTCTTGGTGAAATGCATACTCTGCTTAGAACAATCTAAGGCGGCCTTAAAACTCTCCCTTGACAGTCAGCCTCCAAATGTTTATGTAAAATAAGATTCAAATCATGAACATGTGGGAAGTGCTGAGTAGGGGATGATTCTACTGTTTTTTATAGGTATTGTGCCTAATGACAGAGGTCGTGTGCTGAGCAATGCTGGCAAGGAGCCTAGCAATTTTGTGCCGGGATTATATGTTGTGGGTTGGTTGAAGCGAGGACCCACAGGAATAATCGCTACCAACCTCTACTGTGCTGAGGAAACGGTAAGGATATATGACCCATCCATATGGTAAAACATTATATTCAAATGCTTCTGGAATTTCATAGCCTCATTAATTTCAGTGTTATTAGATTTACTTCGTCTCGGCTGAAGTCTTTGGCTTTGGCCTCGGGACATAAGCAATGAGAATCCAACCCTGAAATTTTCACAATCTCAAGAAAAAGTTATGGAAATATGCTTGATATACCCATAGATATGGTAAATATGTCTGAAATGTTTTAAATATATTAAATATGCTTCATCATTATCATCAGAGCCTTTTTTCAACTATTTGAGGTTGGCTACACAAAGCATGGTATGTCATTCTACCATATCAAGGGCCATACCCTCAGTGAGGCCATAGGCCTTTATATCTTTTTCTATTATTTCCAATCATTATCCTTTTGGACTTACTCCTTGCTATTTTTTAGCATTCCACTTGAATTAACTCACACTTTCTAATACTTGTTGTGTTGGGTTTGTGTTGTACATGGTGAACCCCATCTAAGTCTACTCTCTTGGGGCCACACTTAAGTTCTCCCGAATGTATTCGTTTCAAATTTTATCCCTTATCATTTTAACATCGTCATCTCATCTACATTTGTCCTATGAGTATATTGTTTCGTAACCGCCCAATGTTACACCCTATACAACTAGATTGGTTTCACAATTGTCTTATAAAACTTCCCCTTCAGCTTCATTAATATGCAGCAATCACATAAAACTCCAATTGCACATCTCCACTTTGCTTACCCAGCTCTGTTTCTATGTGCGATATTTTCTTCAATCTCTTTATTTTTTTGGATTATCGATCCAAGATATTGAAAGTGTGTTCTTTTTAGTATTTTTTGACCATCAATCTTAACTACTTTCTCATCCCTATTCCTATTATTGTTAAACTTGTATTCCATATACTCTATTTTAGCCTGCCTAATTTTAAAACCTTTAAATTCTAGAGCATTCCTCCAAAAGTTTTGACTGATGCCGCTTTAAGTCTTATTGATTAAAACTATGTGGCCCATAAACAACGTACATCATGGTACTTCATCTTACCGGTACCTAGTTAAGCCATCCGTTAAGATACAAAAGTAGGAGCTCAACACTGCCCTGTGATGTATCATTGAAAATTCATTCGTCTCTCTACCAATTTGTTCACACACTTTACCAAGTCGATATAGCATTGGAAACCTCTATGTTTTCTAACACCCATCAAATAAAATCTCGAAGTACTCTATCATAAGCTTCTCTAGATCAATAAAGATCTTGTGGAGGTCTTTTCTCTTCACCTTAAATTTCTCAATCATTTGTTTAAGAAAATGGCTTCAATTGTTGACCTCCATGCATAAAACTGAATTGATTTTCCGATATACTCGCTTCATGTGTTAGTCGTTATTCAATCACTCCCTCCCACAGCTTCATAGTGTGACTCGTAAATTTGATCTCTCGATAGTTTACACAATTTTGTATCTCTTTTGTTCTTGTTATTATGTATCACAATATTTTTCTTTCATTCATGTGGTGTTTTCTTTGTTCTCAACACCTTATTGAACAACTTGGTCCAACCTTATTCAAATTTATTATTTTTATTTTTCTAGTCGCACCCAAAAACTTCCCATGAATCAGCTGAAGAGCAAAAGTGCCTCCTTTTCCAGCCAAAATGAAGAGCACTTCGAAGTAAATTAGATAACATCGATTAATTCGTTCGATACAATCTTCTCATCTACATTTTCTGGTCATGTCATCAATTTTCATTATGGGAAAGTATTTTACATTCCCAAAAACTTCAAAAAAACCATTGCACATGGAGTCATCACCCTTCAATCAATAGACAGAAACAACCAGAATTGATTTATTAGATGGTGATGATCGAGTGAACCATGTTTCTTTCATAATCCATGGGACCATAAGTACTTGGTCATTTTGTTTGGATTTTCCTTTTATAGCTTACTCTTGTAAGTCATTCATGTACCCATGATCATATGGGACGAGAATGGATTGGGTCCAAATCCACCAGGATTTGGATTCAAATCCGAAAAGTAAACACGAGATCTTGATTCGAATGTTATCAGATCTAGAATATTTGGATTCGGATCCAAATCTAAAAAGTATACATAGGATCTAGATTTGTATCCAAACCAGATCCAAAAAAATATTTTATATCTATAAATTTGATATAAAATAATATATAACAAAAAATACTACATAAGATATATATATGAGTAATGAACCTATGAAGCCTTCCCACACCCATGTGTGAGACCTCAAAGGATCACCATTAAATTTGGCACAGAGATCTAAAAAAGTGAAGTCCCACACCCATGTGATAATTTGTGTAAAGTTCTGTATCAAATTTAATGGTGTTCCTTTGAGGTCTTACATCCATGGGTATGGGAGGATCTCATAGGATCATTACTATGTATATATATATATATAAATAATATATAATATTTTAATAATTGGGCCAGATTCGGATGTAATCCTCTTGTGCTTGCATCCGATTCGAATTACAATTCGGATCCAAATTTTTTTGGATCCAAACCTAACCTATCATATCCAAATATCAGATCCAAACTTAGATCTAGATAGGATCTAAAATTCGGTTTTCAAATCCAAACCGGGTAAATTCTCAACCCTAGTTGTACATTCCCAGTATTTGTACTCCTTGAATTTTTAATTCGTTGTTAATATTTCATATCTCCAATTAGTTGGAAAAAAGCTTTGATAATGACAATGTCTTGATAATCAAGATAACAAATTACAAAAGCTTTGATAATGACAATATCTTGATAATCAAGAGAACAAATTACATTCACAAACCATTTTGAAACCGTGCACAGTGTGCTAAGACAAGCCCCTAACTTTCCAAGAAAAACCCACTATTTGTTCTTGACTTGGATTAGTCACTTCACATTTTCAGGTGGGAAGCATTACAGAAGACTTGCAACAAGGGGCCCTACACCCTCACATCTCATTGGACAAGCCTGGAAGAGATGGCCTTCTTCATATATTGCAGGATAAAAACATAAGATTCGTGTCCTTTAAAGATTGGGAAAAGATAAATACCAAAGAAATAAATGATGGAAAGTTAAAGAGCAAACCAAGGGAGAAGATAACTTCATGGGAAGAGCTACAAGAGATTGCCACTCAGTAAGGTTGGCAACAAGCCAGACCAGCCTTGGCCTTAACTTAAGCCTTAATTCTGTATGGCAGTTACCAGATACCAGCCCAAACTGGGCTGGGACCCTAGCTTAGGCATCAGACCTTAGATCAAATACAATCAAAGAAAAATGAATATCACAGTAAAAACGAGTTCGGTTAGGCTGATCCCAGCCACCTATGCCATTGTCTATCATCTGATAGGCCGGTCTTTGGGCTACGTTTTGTAACCTAGCCCCTAGTTTTTTAGGGTTGGACACGTTCTCCCAACTCATTGCCGCTCTTTTTTTTTCTAAATTTTTCAATAATGTTTTTTTTTTTTGGATAAATGGTTGAAATGAAAGGTTGGCAATTCGTCAGATATAATGAGGGATGTAATGATTTTCTAACAATCAACTCTCGGATTTGTTTTCTCATACATGGGTTGTTTATTTTCAAGTACAGCTTTCTTGAATTTTACAATAATAGCAATCAAGCATCTGGAATCTTTTTGAGTTGTGAGATGTGTCTTTGCATTGCTTGGACTTGGATATTGCAGCGCAAACACTGAAATGTTGGGTTCGAAATGCATCTAGTTCGGAGACAATAGTAGCAGTACCTGACATCAGAAGCAGTAAACCAACTACTTATCAAACAACTACATTGTTTTTCTGATGAGTAAAGAACTACATATTCAAATTCATTGGAAATTTACAACACTATCCATTTTATCATAAATCATGAGTCAAAATATGTAATGGCCCCTCACTGGTAAATCTGTGTGAGAGAGAGAAATTTAATGACGGCAGAATCTCAAGGAGGGAAGACCTCGTTTCCAAGTGAGACATTGAAAAGGGCGTCACTGGAACACCCTGGATTTTGGTTCACATGAATCAATTTATTCAGAATGGTGGCAATTTTCTAGTCCTCGAGAAAACATTTGAAAGGAAACAAAATCAAGTGCTAAAAGACTGTTGGTACACCCTGAAGGGCATGCAGAGTTTTGTTTAAGCAAGAAAATTGGCACCTACTTTTCTTTAAAATGTATATGTGCATGTTTATTTCTAGCATGAGCAGAGGAGCACTATTCTTCTCCAATTTTAAGCACTCTTCACTTATTTGATACCTAAGCCCCATGTGTATGGCTTGTAACATCCACTCAAAATGAATGTAATGCATTAACAAGTACCTAGGAAAGGAAGAAATGCAAATGATACCTGTGGTGACAAGGAAGGGCATCAAACGGAATGGTAGGAGTTGCTTGGCATACAGGGCATGTATCATCCCCACCAGCAGAACTAGAGTGTTGATCTTTTGAAAAGGGACGAAGGAACTTCTTTATTGATGAGGCATTAAGGAGAGGTATAAGTAACAAAAGCAATTCCTGCAAGGACACCAAAGCAATAGAATTTCCTTTTCATTTCAATAAACAAGGCCCCGTAAAATAATTAACTACTACATCTTCAGTAAATTTTATTAGTGTCTTGCAAAGAAACTATCTTGTGCACCCTAGGAGTGTCAATTAGGGAGTGGGAACAGTGCCCAGTACATGCTTGCAATTCTTGGTCAGACTTTCTGATATAACTAACAATAGTGGGAATAGAACACCTAGAGAGCATATGTGATAATCAGTTGCTTCTCGATAATGGATAATTGTACTGTCCCCCTTCTTTGATTGAGCCTCACTTTGTACTCTTCAACTATGGCATCGCTGAGGTGCGAAAGACTAGAGCAATATATGTTTTTGAGTACTACATGGATTGATGGAAGAGGCTGGACGGTATCATCAGGTAAAAGGCCAAACAGGTAGAAGCAGCCAAGAGGATTATCCAATAAAAAGCTAAAGATGGATAGGCATGGGCATTTTCGATAAGAATCATTTTTCTGTCATTTATATTAATTAGTAAAAGAAAGGACACAATAAATCAAGATATGCATTATAGGTGGGCTCTATTATCACTAGGTTTCAATTGCACAAATTATGACTTGCTGGTTCTTTTGATAAATTTTGCTCGCAAGATAAGAATACAAGTGAAAATACGGCAAACGGAAAGGTATACCACAATCCAATTGAGTAAAGTTACGGTACACTAATGGGCATTTGTGCTCCCTTCTCATGGGCACTAGAAAAGTAGTGGAGCCCAACAGGACACTCACTCAACACAGTCAATGTCCACCATATATCATAGGAATGGACGTTGGATAGCCCTTTGGATATGGAATCCCAACTCTATTAGATTGTTATATACTTCACCATAGAAAAGTATTACCACAATGATCATACAAAAATAAAAGTCCCAAATCTCAAGGAATTCAAGTATTCAAGCAAAAGTCAGTTGTTTACCGAAAATTCATTCCAAACCAATTGCCGATTCATGTACTCAAAGCTAACAGCACGGTTCATGTTAGGGCTCCCATACACAAGCCTTGCTCTCAGAGCTCTCTCAATAAGATTGAGATATCTGCATTGATCAAGTGAGAGAGAATTATAGATGGAAATGGAGCATATCAACAAAATATGGATGGAGAAACCCTTTTAAAATTTCGATTCCCTTAGACTGCTGAATGGATCGTTCTAGACATTCCAGTACATTAGAATAAAACAGAAAAATACTAGTTGAAAGTGCACGCACACTCTGAATTGGGAGGCAAAGAAAACTGCTTAGAGCATTTTTGTAAAACCTGAGAGTAGCTAGAATAGCTCATAGAGAATCAAGAGACGCATGCCCTAAAACAATAGTTTACAAGTATGCCACACACCACTAGCTTACGACGCTATATGCTACAACACAGGCATCCACATCTGCTCTAGATGGTTTACAGTGGAGTTTAGCCATAGTTTCTGATGAAGGATATTCAACAGGGCACAGTTAATCTTTACTGTCTGTCATCATGCACAGACAACCTCTGCAGTGTACTGTGTATTACGTAATACCAGTGGATGGTACCGTTTCCCTTACCCAAATACCATCATGTCAATCCACTCCTTGGTTTTTTCCGTACACCTTGAGTCAATGACCACCTATTATAGTTGTGACTTGAGTGTCTAAAACAACAAAATCTTGAACCTTATGGTTCAATCATCAAAATGAATATGACAATGATATTGATTTCTTTTCTTCTTCTTTTTTAAAGGGATGATGATGATATAGTTTCCTGATACCATTCTTCGCTCTGCAATGGAACCCATACTCCAAAGCAGCTGTTACCCAGAAACCTTGACAAGAAGCTAAGTAGGAAGAGGACAAATTCCTGAGCATAAAACAATTGCACTCTAAGATCCTTATCAACCAAGAAATACCTGAAACACCTGGATAGGGATGAGAGGCGTGATATGGACATTAGTAACTTGTCCATCCCATTAATGCATATGTATTGTTTCAGATCCCTATGAAAAACAACTCTATAACAATTCAAAATATCAGAACATCCTTGAATTGCATACATGATGATACTATAGACCACCATGTATCCTCAATAACATACTGGCCTTTTCCTTTCTTTCTAATAATTAAAAGAAAGAATTCACCCAATAGAAAATTAACATGATTGACATTTGCAAGCTGGTAACATATGGGGTTCTATAAGTTAAAGAATTTAGTACTCACTGAAAGTTTAATAAACTTCACAAGAAAGGCTTTTTATGCATGCATTCCGAAGCTGGATTTGCAACTTTTGGGGCCCAAGCAGCCTTAAATTCATGCAATCTATGACCACATTTATGTCAGATGTGCTCAATAAATTAGAACCTAACTAGCATGTTCACCAACATATATGTTAGGAGACACGACGGTTCCACATGATGACTCTCTCTACGATCATAGCAAGTACACAATGGGAGATTACAGTAAATTAGGAACAAGAAAATGTGAAAAAGGAGTTATCAAATTAGCAAAAATGAGAGAGAAAAAGTATAGGGATCTAGACATATTAAATGCAATAAGCGTGAGGATCAAAGGGTCTTGGTGAAGGATGAAGAGGTCAACGAAAGGCGAAGAGTTTACTTTCAAAAATTATTAAAAGATGAACACGAGGGAAACACAACGGTAGAAGGATCTGTTGGTATAAATGAGGGCAAAGGTCACAGATACATTCGTAGGATTAGGATATCGAAAGTGAAAGAAGCTTTGAAGATGATGAAGATAGAAAAGGCTTTAGGACCAAATGGCATCCTGATAAAGGTTGGAAAGCGCATGGGGGAGATTTGGCATTAACTGTTTGACCATGTCGTTCAACAAGGTGTTGAAAACAAAGAAAATACCAGACGAATGGAGGAAAAATATTATGTTACCTATTTACAGGAACAAATAAGACATGCAAAATTGTGCGAACTATTGAGGAATTAAACTTATGAGCCATACTATGACGCTGTGGGAGAAAGTAATTACGCAGCGATTAAGGCATGAAACAAGTGTATCAAAAAACCAATTCAGTTTTGGGTTTGTCAACCCCTCAAAATACAAAAGTTAATGTTAAAAGGGGTTGTGATAGGTGTATTTATCAAAAAGATCATTACTTTTTGTTTAAAAAAATATTTTAATAGGTAACTGAACCATTAAGCGTAAGGGTAAATTCAAAATTTTTACAACAGTACAATGGCATTTTTGAAAGTTAGTGCCTTGGAACTTTATTTGTAAAATGCCCTGGTCCTTTAGTAAAAATTTCAACTTTATCCCTTATGGAGATGACAAAAGTTTCCCTTGTCTTGTAGTGATCTTCACAAAAATACCTTACTTAATGAGTAAGATATCACAAAAAGTAATTTTTTAAAAAAATAAACCATAAAGTTAGTAAATCCACCATTCACAACTCATTTTATCATTAACCTTTATAATTTGAAGGGTTGTGAACTTTAGATCATCCCTTCAGTTTTATGCCAGGGAGGTCAACAATTGAGTATTTTCCTATTTAGGCAACTGACTGAGAAGTTTAGGGTAAAGGGCAAAGACTCTACATGGTCTTTATTGATCTAGAAAAAGCTCATGAGAGAATACCGCGAGATTTAATTTGGTAGTGTTGGAAAAGAAAGGATCTCCTGATACCATATCGACTTGGTGACAGATATGTACGAGAGAACGCTAACCAGTGTGCGAACAACTAGTTAGAGACGAGTGAGTTTTCTGTTATAATAGGTCTACAACTCTACATCAGAGGTCAGCTTTGAGCCCATGCCTCTTTGTCTTAGATATGGATGACTTAACTAGACACCTACAAGATGAGGTACCATGGCGTATGTTGTTCACGTAATATATAGTTTTAATCGATTAGACCCAAAGCAGTGGCGACATAAAGTTAGAACTTTGGAGATATGCTATAGAATCTAAAGGTTTTAAAATTAAACGAACTAAGACATAGTATATGGAACGCAAATTTAGTAATAATAGGAGTAGAGACGAGGAAGTCATTAAGATTGACAAACAAGAAATACCGAAAAGATGGCACTGTCGATATCTTGGGCCGATAATCCAAGAAAATCGAGAGATTAAGAAAGATATTGCACATAGAATTAGAGCTGGGTGGGCCAGGAAGAGATGTGCAACCTGAGCTTTATGCGATTGCCGCATACCAATGAAAATGAAGGCGAAGTTTTATATGATAGCTGAGACCAACTTTTCTTTATGAGGATGAATGTTGGGCGTTCTAGAAACAATATACTCATAAGATGAATGTAGTTGAGATGAGGATATTGAGATGGGTGAGTGGCAAGACAGATATTGGGAAAACTTAGGTGTGGTTACTATAGGTGATAAAATGAGAGAAAGTAGACTTAGGTGGGTTGGCCATATGCATCGTAAGGCCAGAACAACACCTGTTAGGAAGTACGAGTTGGTTCAAGCTGAAGGCTCAAAAAGGGCAATGGGTAGGCCTAATAGGACATAGTTGGAAGTAGTGAGAAAAAATATGGCGACTTATGGCCTCAGTGAGGGTATGGCCCTTGATAGAGCAGAATGGTGGACTAAGATGCGTGTAGCCGACCTCAAATAGTTAATAAAACACTCTAATGATAATGATGATAGGTATTCGAATATCTGTACACCAAAATTCCGGATGTGCACATAACATGCTCACAAACATTTAGGGTAGACTAAACCTTACATAGATTACACGTGTAGTGCATTTTTCGTAAATGACGATTCCTAAGAAGCAAATACATTCATCCACTAATCCAACATGCTTTTGTGTTCAGAGCAATGGTTGAAAATGGGCCCTCAGATTATGGCCACTGATTTTGCAAGCTCCATTCATCGATCCACCACACAAATAGTACAAAATTGTACAATATAAAGTCATCGTGAACAACTTAAGAGACCTCTATCTCTTACAAGCAGCTACTTTGAATATGAGATTTCATACAAGTTGAAGATGAAGCTGCTGAACTATACAAGGTTTTCATTTGTTGGCTCTTTTTTTCAAGTATAATAAGCCATTTAACCAATCACAAACTTTAGTTTAGAAATATCATAAATAGCAGTCTGGATTACATTTTGGTTATATCCATCAAACTAGTAGGTAAATTTAACTTTTTAGTTTTTACTCATTAAAAATATACAGCATTTAATTTATATAAATCCCATGTGATTCTGCAAAAGATGCGAATGTTATGAACAGATCTCAATTTTCATCAGGGTCATGGATAGTGAACATGGATATCAGTCTCCATACTGTGAGTACGCACAGCCTAAAAGTTCAAGATAAAGTAACACGTTAATATAGTTTCACAGTAAAAGTTAACTCGATGTCTCTCCTATTCCCCAAAAGAACAATTAGCTGTAATACTGGACACTTCTCAAAGCATTTTCAACATTTGTTTCCCCTTTCAATTATGATAATTCAGATAAGCATGAATCACATTATGGAGGACAATTGACTCTAGCTTCTAGGCGAGGCGCGCTCTAGAAAAAAGAAAGCAGCAAGGTTATACTGAGCTGAACAAAGCATTACATCAATCTCAAAACTAAATCACCTGAGTGTGGTGATTTACCTTCCATGGTAAAGGAACACCAGAAGATTCCCAAATGAGGCAGCTTTATATAAACTCTCAACACGTTGCAATAAAACCCATGTTCGGCGTGCCCATGATCTCTATCACATATACATAAACGCAATAAGAATTACAGCCTTAAAATACCTCAACAACATTAGGTTAGCATTGAGCATCGGTATATATAAAAACCTGTTCATTATCTCCCCATCTTCGAAAAGCAGAAAAAGATTGCAAACGAGCCCAGACATATTGCCCAACGACTGTGGCCATGCAATACCAAAGCTTTTGTGAGAAAGTAAGCCCAGGTCCTTCTAACCCTGTGCGCACTGGAAACACATGCAAAAGATAAAACCAAGGATATTATTCTCAAGGTTTATTTACTAAATCATAAATCAGTGACTATTGAGGATTCAGTATGTGAAAAGTTCTCTTCAGACATCCTATCATGACCATCACATAATTGCTACAAATGCAATTCTAAGAGTACAATAACATAAGCATGAAAAGTATATGCGAACCTGCTTCTCCTTGCATGGTCATTGCACGCTCATCTCTATATCTTAAATTCATAAGAGCATTTCCAGGAGTTGGCTTATCAACCCATATTGAAAATCTCCATATAAGGAACTCTAGAAAAGCATTGAGCTCTGGTTCATATTGGAACAGGAACCCTGGCTAGTTAAAGAGGAAAACAAAAGTTAGAACTTTATACAAAGAGATCAAAGAGAGAGGCACTTCACAAGTGAGTAACTATGAATCATATCTTTAAAAAGGGCAACTACGATAATAAGGTAAAACATGATATGAAATAGAAAACAACAAATGAAGAGGGGTGTGTGTGTGTAAGTGTGAGTGTTTGGGGGCAGCTGGGTTGATGTTTGAAAGATAGATCTACACATATGCACGTGCACACTAGGGAATACAGAGACACACATTAAAGAAGTTGGATACTTCTTATGAAAGGAAACCTATCATTCATTACCTACAAGAATACTGCCTAATCAAAAACTTAGTTAATATAAACTGTTCTTTCCAACTATTTGAAGGAATTTACTATTCTTTCTGAATTAAGAAAAGCTATAACAGATAACAGCCCCACTTCATTTATAAGGATACATTCCTCTTCAAATGGCACAAGAATCATTTTATATGTAAAAGTCGATGCGTCTACTTCACCTTTCAGATATGTTCATAACTAGTATTAACAAATCAGTCCACTTATAGGAAATTGCCGATGCAGTCCAATGACTCCAACCAAGGACCCAAAATCCAACAGAATTCAAAATGGGCAATCCAGTCAAGATCCTTGAATGTACAGTTCAGATCAAGAATTGACAAGATGGAGCATGTTTAGGGATCCAAACCCAATTTTTTCAGATCCATATCGTGAAGGTCAAGCAGATGGTTCACAGAGTTTGGGTTGTCCATCCATCTCAATGATGGGTTTTTGAGGTGTGGTTGCAGTTGCTTGGACTACGACAAAGGTATCACATAAAAATTTTCCTCAATACATCGCGGCATCCTATCATGATTTCATCAAGAAGGAATATATTTATAAACCTCCCTTGCGAGCTTAGCCTTTAGGAACATAGATGAAGCTGCATTCCTGATACATTTCTCCATTCAAGATTCATATGTTTATTATCAAAGATTTTTTCTTTCTTCTTATTAGAAGGAACTATGTACTTGATAAATTCATCTCTAACACCTTAGCATCCCCCCAACCCAAACAAAAATATTATCCCAGAAACAATTGAATCCTTATATTGCTTGTACTAAGGAAATCAAATTCTCTGGCTTCATGCTTTTAAGCCAAACTTTATCTTTTTCATCAGAGCAACATTTCAGGTTTGGTTTCCATTCATATAAATAACTCAGTATTCAAATATTAAGTATCCCAGAAAATCAAAGTAGGCAACAATGAGAAGATATCAAAATGAGTAGACTTTCACATTGAGCAATGATCAGAAGAGAGCTCAAAAGATCTTACTTTCACAAAAGAGAAGACCTTAACCAGTTGTTCCTTCAACATAGCTGAAATTTCAACATCTAACCTTTCTGCATCAACCTGAAAAACTTTGGATATCGAAATTGGGACTGCAATCTGTTTGACAAAAAAGAATAAAAATGTGGTTTATATCCCATTACATAGTATGAACCAGAAAGAAGCAAAAAACAGACCTAAAATCAGAGCATAACTGAGGAACTATATA